CCTAAACCCCACAACTTCAGGGGATGAGCAATCTAAAACCAGAAGCCATGCAAGAAGCCCCACAGACCTCAATCCATCTTGTGTTCGTATAGGCAACAACATGAGTAAGAGTACTTCTCATATCATCTCACGTGAACGGTCACGGTAGGAATAAAGCAGAGCAGTGCACAAAGGACACGGGTCAGCCTACACTCTGTACCAAAATCCCGAACCGTAAGCCGTATATGCCCGACGCGACGCTTTCCGTCCTCAGCTCTGGCGACAGGACTCCCGATTTGCCTACGGCCGCATCCTTAGAGTTCAAGGTTTCGGGCTAACAAGACTTGTTGGTGCAATGGTTTCTGCTGGTTCGTCGGGTCTTTGTCGACCTTGTTCGGTGTTTTCGGGCGTCTGGTTTGGAGCTTCTTCGGACTGCAGAATTTCTGTTCTCAGCGGGGTGGTCCCGAAACTTTCACAGGCATAGGTATGCAGGATGGAAGGAACGGCACCTCCCACAAGCATCAACTTCATTCCTGCAGTATGTCTCCAATCTCCAGAATGATGCTGCAGAGCAATCTCGTGTCGAAAACTAGATTCTACTGAGCAAGAAATGTTGCTTCGGGACAAGTGATATATCGGGGTTGATCCGCGAAGAACGCAACTCTGCAGGCTTTTTGTGTTCAACTTGGCACGTCTTGGTGGTCGTTGTAGGTTTGCAGCTTTGAGACTTCAGCAAGTGAGGATAGCAGGGCATCACCAAAAACACCCACAAGATCGCCAGTCCGAGAATAATACAGCAGGCAAGGTCAAGACTTGTAGCAACTAACAATCTGCTTCTGCCTAGGAACCGCTACACCTCCTCGTCTCGCGAATAGCATAATCACGGAGAGAAGTCATGTAAGCTCCGGAACATCATGAGACCAGCTTCGATACTTGAGTGACAGCACGATTCCCAAGCATTGCATCGTGGAAGGTTGAATGTATCCATACATTGGGTACGGCCCCCACTCAATAACGGTTGGATAATATTCATAATATAGATATATAAGGCCCTTAATGGTAGCCCTAGTATAGACTGTTACTGTATGGGGGCCGTACTGAATCCATACACCCCACTCCACTGCTGCCGCCACCCCCCCACCCCCACCACTACCTTCAACACCGACAGCAGCAACATTATCAGCACCATCAGCACCATCACCGCTATCAACGGCAACAGCAAAGTCGTGAATCGACATCAGCTGCGCGATGGCAGCAACAGAGTTTGGGCAGGGATGTCATGAAGAACAGCGGGGCCTTGGAAACCCAGTCTTTTAAGCCTTGTAAACCTTGACCCTATAGGTTTCGAACCTCAGGCCCTTAACCATATCGAGCCTCAGGCTTCAGGACCCAATCGCTTTCTGGAATTGCGGTTCTTCTTGACCCCTCCAGCTTCAGATGTCCGCCGTCTTTGAAGCTTCCTCTGCCCCCAACTGCTTGACCTGCCCACCTTCTCCGAGGCTCTCTTTGACCACCTCGATGTGAACAAGGATGGAGTGGTCACTCGTGAGGAGTGGCAGCGGGCCATGCAGGCCTTCACCTGGGCCCAGTCGCTTCTAGCGGAAAAAACCGCGGAGTTTAGGATCCCTTTGATCGGTTCCTGGAGCGGCCACCACATGTAAGCCTCAGGACTGTAACCCTAAATCTAAACTGCAACCCTGAAGCTTTGACCTTGAACCCTGACCATAAACCATGGCTAAGCTCTAGAAAGCCTCGCAGCCGGCGTCTCCGGCTCTGACCAGCCCTTAACCTTAACTGGCCGTAGTCCTGTTTTGCAGTGCCCCTCCTGGCTTCCCTGAGCCCGTCAAGCTTTGGATAGTGTGCAGACCTCCATAGAACTTATTCCAAGCAGCGGAATTCGGAAGCCCAGCGTGCCCTGGCATAGTTCAGCTGCATCTTTAGGATTTTGGCTTCGGGATATACAAATATATACACATGATATAATCTGCCTTCGTGAGTCGTTCCCGCGTTTGACTGTGCACCGCTAAAGCCGTGGCTCCGTGGCCACGCGCCGTGGACTTAGTCTGAACCCCTGCATTTTTTGTTTTAGCGCTATGCTATTAGGGTCCCTCAAGAGCTTTCTATGCAATCCTACACAAAGAACCAGAGGACTTTTTCAAAGAAGTCATCAGGCCTTTTGGAGGCCCCCGCGGTACATTAGACTACGGCAGTGTCGGGTTTAGGGCCCCTCTTGAGCTGCAGCGGCATAGGCGCAGCAACCATCGGCTGTGCCGACTCAGACACCTGTGCAGGCATGAAGGAAGTGGGGATCCTGGGCCTTGCTACGTAAAGGAGTGGTAAGTTTTGTTAAGACAGAAGGGGCCATTATGAAAAAATGATCTATATATGGTGCAGTTTATGGCTAATCACTGTGCCCCCCCCTCCCTTTTGCCGCGAATATCAAGAGGTTACTCGAAAGTGTTCTTGCGAGTGAGGCTTTGGCGTCTTTTGGGGCTGTTCAGGAAGCCCAAATTTGAGTTGCTACCCTTCAACGGTCGATCATGTAAGAACTGGGACTTCAGGTGGCCTCAACAATGTGCCCCAGCCACTTCGCGTCGTCGTTGAAGCAGGCAAACTCAAGAGGGCCCAGATTTCGGGCTTTGTAGGCAGCTCCTGAATGAGCTGGTAGCACCAACCCCACCCCATCCTCTCCACGAGATTAATGGTACTACTATGGGGCTACTGGGGAATGCGCAAGAACCGGCACAGGTGCAGGTTCCACCAGCAGCTGGGGCCATGATGATGCCGCCACATGACGGCATCGTTACAAGATGAATTTGTTTGGTTTCGTAGTTCGTTTCTCACCTTCGATGCTCCCTCAAGGCGAAGGGCGATTCGATTTGTCAAGCTAGGCCGACAGGTTTTCGAAAAGAAGTCGGCGTTCAAAGCTTCGTCGATGTGTTAGGGCTTGACACGTTTGGGGAAGCCCCGTGGCCGCCTTAGCCTTTCCTGCGGGGCCCCGTCACTAGGCTTCCTGTTTTCCAGGACTTTACCGGCAGTCGTGGTAGCCGCACTATCAGCAGCTCTACTGGCAGTTCACTAGTGAGAATGATGTGACGGTTAACGATTGCAAGTGTTTATGTCCTGGTTGCAATACGAGGACCGTGTCACATGGTCATCCATCGTGCGTGTGTGTATGTGTTTGTGGGGTGTTTGCAAGTATTCATATTAGATGTGTACAGAACCGTAGTGATGACAGTATGACTTTTAACAGTACATAGAACAGCATCACGGTCAAGATCAAAATAGAGTCGGTTGTTTCTATTTACATGCTTAACTGCTGTTAAAGCCGTATGAAATCCTTATAACACCCGCCAGAAAAAGGGCCGTACAGTTGGGAAGCTGCTGGAGCCTCTTGAAGAGAACGCCCAGAAACGAAAAAGGTTCAGGGTGCAGATGGGTTTGGGTTGCAGGGGTTGAGGGTAGCGGCTTCTGATGTTTGAGTCACGGGTCACGGGGCAGAATAGCGGGCAGAGTGGCTTAGAGTAATTGATATAGGGGCCTTAATAATTACCTATACTGTTTTGACGGCTCCTTAGGAAAAGAATTAGTATAATGGGCTCCAAAACCTTATTCTAATTATAAATGCCACTATGTTAGATAGTTTCTGAGACTTTACATCTCAGCAGGTTTTTTCTGGCTCTTACATGACTGGATCGGTGAATTCCGCGAAGTTAATTTTCCAAGTCGCTGAGGCTCTGGATCGTCAAACCCTTGAACCCCAAGCCCCTCAACCTTTAAGATTTGCTGGGGGTTTGGCTTTGGGGTATACACTGGCTAGTATCAAGCGCACCTAGGCGGCATGCGGCTGCCGTCCCACGGCCGGGCTATGCTGCGGTTCCTGCCTACCCGCCGCGCAGCTGCCATTCGTGTTCAACAGAAGATAGTCCTCCAATGCTAGCAGCCACAGTCAGACTCCCTACCTTGTTCCGAATAAATGACTGTAAGCAGTGCTGTAGCGACAACAGGAGTAATATTGGCGGAGTCAGAGCAGGACGGTCGTGACAGGAGTGCCTGTAGCAGTCCAGCATTCGTAGCTCTACACCTCAGCAACTGTATCCCTGAAGTAAGGCAGCACTCGTCAGAGCTCGTGCGAACTCGTGTCCTATAAAATTAAAGACATTCATTTATGTAGTATAGTGAGAATGAACCAGGAAATATATGAATGGCAACATCCAGCAAAATTGCCCACATCTCAGGGCGACGCTGAACCAACAAACGGCCGTGATTCCCAGCACTACGACTTGCAAAACCCGTGGGATCCACGAACCATGCGACATGTGGTATGTTCATCTGACTCAGGCCGAATGCCGGGCAAGTCGTGGTGCACCAGCCCATTCCGATGATGAAGGCCCGAGTTATGGCCTGAGTCATGGGCAAGCCACAAAGCAGTACAGTGAACTGCAGCATAAGTGCCAGGAGACATGAATTCGCCAATCGGAAATCACCTGCCCATACAGCCTGTGCATGATTATACAATGTACCTCGCAACAGTGTTCGAAAGATCAAGGCCTTCGTGCTAGGGTTTAACGCATCAGCTTTGGAGTCCCAGTGCCGTGTGTCACGATCCCCGATAGCCATGTCCTGATACCACTGATTGAAGCATCGGATAGCAGCAGAGGGCCAGAGTTTCGGGCTGAAGAAAACATTAGGGTTTGGGGTTTAGGGCCCGGGGTTAGGATGAATGAGGCTTACGCGACCTGGTGCTTCGGCTACGATTCTTGAGGGCTGCGGCAAGATGTCTGGGGTTCCAGGCCCTGTTGCGTAGCAAAAAACAACTCAGGCAAGCTGACGGGGCCCGCGTCATTGGTAGCCATATTTCCCGTGGTTTCGCGAGGCCTCCTACGATCACTGTCTGCTACAAGCAACATGGCAAAAACTAACCCGATTTACCCCAAATTGCCGAGGCCCTTATTGAAATGCTCAGGCTCAGGCCCCTACATTGTTCAAATCAGTTTTGAAGAAAGCCCTGCGTGGAGGCCATGTCAATGGCGCCGCCGGTCGGCGCGCCCGTCTATCTGCAGGCCACTGACAGGGGTTTCTAGGTTTGGGGTTAGGATTTCGGGTTCAGGCGTTTAGCGACACTTTGGGATTTTAAATCCTAATGTCTCAGCCGTATATCCCGAGACTTAAACAGAATGCAATGCTCCACGAGCCTGCCGTGTGGAATTTAGAGGTGTTGGCTTTTAGTCCATATTAGGGCTTGCTGAAGGAAGTTGATAGGGTTCTATTGCAGGTAGCGTGTTGTGGCACGTAGTAGGGTCCTACCGGTACTGTTGGTTATATTGCCATGGCAGTGCTCCAAGCATGGACACCTTACGCCCAGATAAATCTGGGTTTCGCGCCTGGGGTTTGTATTTCCCAGAGAGCCCAAGATCAATTCGTCCACGATTGTGCCCGGCCCTCAAGCATGTCACGAGTCTTCCGACGTATTCTTGTCCAAACTATACGCCCCTAAGCCCTGGCCTAAACTCCTGGACCCTCAACTCTAAAGCACCTGGTCGGTTTGTTTAATTCAATTCCAAACCTAGAAAGTCTTTCAGGTGCACAGATGCGCGGGGGATTCGGATGCTGGTCACAGTTTGGTCTTAGATGTTGAGTTCCGTTAACGTTCAAATTCAAGGTCTCGTCAGTCCTCAGTATTCGGGTTTCAATATGGGAGTTTCCGAAAATAGGGGACTCTAATATAGTACCCCAAGAGTAAGATCCTTATTCTAAGGACCCCCATATAAGGTACCCCTGATTTTCGGAAACTCCCATATCCAGGGCTTGAGGTCTTGGAAACCTTGTCCCTGAAGCCCAAGTCTTAAAGCTCATAATCAAAGTCTCTCGGGTTTAGGGTTTAGAGTTTAGGGTTTAGGGGTTTGACTTGTAGTTGGTGTTTCTTTGTTTGGGCTTTGGCCCACTCTAACTTGCGTGACACTCACTGCTCCGGACTGAGAGCTCGAGACCTACATCCACAAACAGGGCTTGGGGTTGAGGATTTAGTTTTAGGTGAGGTTTCTGGATCCAGACTGTACATAAACTGCTACCACAGAAGTTAGAACTAAAGAATCACCCCTAAGTATTAAGGCTCCCACATGTCCTGTCAGGGCCCAGGCACCGCGGTACGACCCATGGGAGCACCGCAGATGGCCGTAGCCATGGGAATGCCAATGGTACCTGGCTGGTTTGGGGTTTAGGGGTTTGGGTTTTGGGGTGCAGGGCTTTGGGGGATTTTGTGGTTTGGGCTTTAGGGGTTTGGGTTTTGAGGTGCAAGGTTTTGGGGATTTTGGGGTTTACGGGTTTGTGGTGTCGGGTGAAGAGATTTATTTTGCGGCCATGACCACTAGCAACGCGAACACGCAGTGTCAACTACCAGCATGCAGCCGCTAAGCAGACCGCCTGTAGTACCCGCGGGAGGAAGCGATGCAAGATCCAACCGTCATGATGATTATGTTCGTGACAGTACTGCTTTTTCATGCATTAAACACGAAACGGCCCCTGTCCTTGTCGCCGCTGCCCAGCAGTTGTCGAACATCGTTGTCGTTGCGGTCGTATCCGTAGTCGTAGCGGCAGCCGAAGCTTGGCCGTAGACGCACCTGCGGCCGTCGCCGTCATCTTCGCAGGAGTCATATCGTCGTCATCAACAGTAGCGCCGTAGTAGTAGTAGTAGTAGTAGTAGTAGTAGTAGTAGTAGTAGTAGTAGTAGTAGTAGTAGTAGTAGTAGTAGTAGTAGTAGTAGTAGTAGTGCTAGCAGCAGGAGTAGTAGAAGTGCATCGGCAGCGCTGCCACCACTACCACAGTAGGAGTCGTAGTAGTCTACAGTCTACAGGCCGCCTTCAATGATGTTTGCATCTGTTGCCCCCAGCGCCGAGGCACAGCCTATGCCACAGAGGGCCCAGCCTATGGTGCAGCCCATGGTTCAGCCCATGCCGCAGCCGATGCCGCATATGATGGCACAGCAGATGGTGCAGCCGATGCCCATGCAGGTGGGAAGCTGGACCCAGCGAACAACTTTATTGAATTTTCATACCAACCGGAAAGCTTCTGACATTTTCTGACGTGTGTGCTCTGCTTTCGCGGTATTTGGTGCCAGCTAAAGCCTAAACTTTTACCGAACACCTTAGCCTGTTCAGCCCAATACACCACACCGGCGTTCCGGTACCGAGGTCTCGACACTAAGCCCTGAGCACACGGCCCTACACCCTGAATCACAACAGACGCTACACTCTAGACTCTTGACCCTACATCCCTGAAGGGCTTAAACCCTGGAGCCCTAAAGCCTTGACGCCCGCAACCCCGAAGCTCTGAAACCCAGCCTTGAACCCCTAAAGGCACCGTTTCTGGACCCTTAGAGAAGAGATGTGGGCCCTATATCCAACCCTTCAAAATAGTAGGACCAACAAAAGATGTCTACAGAGTTCCTGGCATCCTAATGGAAATTTTTAGAGAAAGCTTTTTAACAAACGTAAAGCACTCCAGAGGCGCCCGTCCTGAGCGGCACACCCCTGTCGCCGCAGAGGGGGCTGAGCCCTCCACGGGCAGTGTCCCCGATGCGAGCTGCACCTCGGCGCGAGGGGCTCCTTCTTCCAGTCTTTCAGGCCCAAAGCCGAAAGCCGCTTGTTCAGGGACTGATATTTCTGGGAATCGGGATGATGGGTCTATAGCGTTTAAAGCTTCAGGATTTTGAAGTGTTCGGGTATCGGATCGTAAGCAGCCAAGGCAGCACCCATGTATGCAGCCGGTGCCGGCTACATCCCGGCAGCTCAGGCCAGGATTCTGCGTATCGGGGCTCGGGGATGTAGGGTTTAGGGTTGCGCGGTTCGCGCATTTAGCATTTAGTTGAGGGCGGGAGGAAAACGGTTTAACGTTGATGACTTTACAGGTTCTAGTTTCATCCGGATCCCAAAAGAAGATCCGAACACTCTTGACTAAAGCCACAGTGTGTTCTTAAGGGCTACACTGTGGAAGTCTGAAACTCCGGGCGTAGCCCCTGTGAACTCAAGCCAAAAACGACAGTCTGATGGGGCAGAGCGGTCACTTGTGCAAAGATTTGCCCGTTCGCTTGTGCAAAGGGTTGGGCGTTCGCTTGTACGCGCGGAGGTGCGTTTTGTATTGGCAGGGCCAATGAATTCGGAGTTCGTTACTTGTAACTTTGCTATGTTCGGGAGGCTTGAAAGTGCACGAAACGTCGGCAGGGCCGTGGTTTCCGGCTTTGGGCGTGCACGCTCGAAATCGCGCTTTTTGGCTCCGAAGTTGTTAAAGTGCTGGCAGGGCCACAGGATTCGGCTTCGCTGCGTCGGTCTTCAGCCCCTGTTTTGAAGCATTTGAAAGCAAGCAATCGACTCCAAACCTCGACAGGGGCGGCGGTTTTGCTTCACGCCGCAGGCGTTCGAAACGATGTTGGTTATTCGCAGATGGTGGAAAGAAAGCGTGTTTTGCAAGCCCATTCCTGCACCATGCAGTTCTTCTTCTTGGATTCTGCGGCTGTTCTGTCGTCGGAACCCCTCCAAAACGTGCTTTTGGAGCCTGCAAAAGTGCGTTCTGGAGGTCAGTTCGGAGTTTGCGCTTTGCGGGAGGCAGCAGTTTGGCGTGTCCAACGCGAGGTGTCGGCTACTGGCCAGGCCAAGCCAAGCTTCTTCATGTGGAACCCAGCACGAGCGAGTCAGGGGGACGAAAGCAGCGGTTACCTCGCTTGCCTCGCCTCCGAGCGGCATGAGGTTCGGACCTTCCAAAACCTGCTTTTCCAGGCTGCAAAAGCACATTTCGGCGGTCCGTTCAGAGTTTGTGCTTTGCAGGATCCGAGCGCGCTTTGGTGCACAGGTCACAGGATGGGGCTTCGCCGCTTCGGTTCTTAGGCTCTGTTTTCAAGCACTTGAGGGCAAACAAGCGACTCGACACCTCGACGGGGGCGGCGGTTTTGCTGCATGCGGGCAAGCAAGCGACTCGAAACCTATTAGCCCCCCACTGGTGCCGACAAGACTTCTCTTGCTGCGCGCGTCGAACACGGACGTTATTATCCCCGCAAGCGTCAAACACGGACGTTATTGGCCTCCTTCCCCCCCCCCCCCTGTGACCAAAGAAACATACATGCTGGGGCCAACAAGACTTCTCTTGCTGAACGCGACAAAAACACGGACGTTATTAGCCCCCCACCCCACCCCCCCCACCAAGCCCCACCCGCCCCCCTGGGACCAACATGAAAGAACGTTCTTAGCCCCCCCCTTGGACCAACAAGAACGTGCTGCTGCCAGCGAGACTTCTCTTGCTGCACGCGTCAGACACGGACGTTATTGGCTCCCCCCCACCCCCCACCCTCCCCACCTGGGACCAACAAGAACGTGCTGGTGCCAACGCGACTTCCTTTGCTGCACGCGTCAATTACCAACGTTGTTAGCCCCCCACCCCACCCCTCGCACCCATGCTGCTGCCAACGAGCGTCAAAATCGAATGTTATTAGCCCCCCACCCCACCCCCCACCCACCCGCCCCCCCATGGGACCAACCAGAGCGTACTGCTGCCAACGCGACTTCTCTTGCTCCACGCGCCAAACACGGACGTTCTTGGCCCCCCACCCCACCCGCCCCCCCAACCAGAACGTACTGGTGCCAACGCGACTTCGCTTGCTCCACGCGCCAAACACGGACGTTCTCAGCCCCCCACCCCACCCCCCAACCCGCCCCCCCAGGACCAACCGGAACGTGCGTTTCGAGCCTCCAAGAGTGCGTTTTCGTCAAACACGGACGTTTTCAGCATGCTGGGGCCAACGAGAATTCTTTTGCTGCACGCGACAAAAACACGGACGTTACTAGCCCCCAGCCCCCAACCCCACCCCACCTCCAACCAAGCCCCACCCGCCCCCCCTGGAACTAACATGAAAAAAAATGGTTCTTAGCCCCCCACGTCAGACACGTCGAACACGGACTTTATTAGCCCCCCCCCCTGGAACCAACAAGAACGTGCTGCTGCCAGCGACACTTCTCTTGCTGCACGCGTCCAACACGAACGGTATTAGCCCCCCACCCCACACTCCCCCCCTCGGACCAACAACAACGTGCTGGTGCCAACGCGACTTCTCTTGCTGCATGCGTCAATTACCAACGTTCTTAGCCCCCCACCCCACCCCCCACCCACCCGCCCACCCATGAGACCAACCAGAACGTACTGCTGCCAACGCGACTTCTCTTGCTCCACGCGCCAAACACGGACGTTCTTAGCCCCCAACCCCACCCCCCCACCCCCCACCCCCCCCAAGAACCAACCGGAACGTGCGTTTCGAGCCTCCAAGAATACGTTTTCCATGGAAGCAATGAAACTGCTTTTGCTGCAAGCGTCAAACCTCACGTTCTTACCCCCGACCCCCACCCACCCCACTACAGCCAGGAAGCCAGCCCCAACCCGACCCCCCCATGCACCCCGCCCCCCCAGCCCCACCCCCCCCAGGACCAACCAAAACGTACTTTTCGAGACTCCAAAAGTGCGTTTTCGATGGTGCCGTTTTCAGCCCCCGAAGCATGCTCTGAAAACGCTTATCCGGAAACCAACGAAAACATGCTTTTCGAGACTCCAAAAGTGCATTTTCGATGGTCTGTCAGATGTTTCCTAAAACAGCTCAAAACGCACTTTTCGGCCAGCACTTGCCAACTGGGCAAGTGCACTTTCCTATGGTTTTTACAATGGATTCGGCACTTTGGCGCGTAAATGTCGTCAACTTCGGCTAACTTGCAAAGTGGACTTTCCTATGGTTTTTACAATGGATTCGACACTTGTCCATGCTTGTTGAAGCCATTTCCGAAAAAGACCGAAGTGCACGTTCCTATGGTTTTTACAATGGATTCGACACCCGTCTTTGCGCAAGCGACTGGGCAAATCTTTGCGCAAGCGACGCGAATTTCTTTGCGTAAGCGACGGTGCTGCCGTCTGATGGTCAAACGCTTTCGTGTTTGGCGCCTTGGCCAGTGGAGGTGTAGACCCCTGCTGTCATCATCTGCAGGATTCTCGAAATTTTAGGGTTTACATAGTCGTTTAAGCAACTTGGGCATGTTGTCCCGACTCGGGCGAGCGCGCTCCATGCTATGACCTTGAGCCCTGTCAGTAGCAAGTGTGCATATATCTAGGGCCGTAGTATTTTTGGTCTATGTGTGGGTGGGTCTGAGGGTCCCCCGAAACGCTGAACGTTTTCGATGTCATAAGGTGTCGAAGTGCTTCGGTTCAGCTTTGGCTGCCTTTGCCCTGTACCACCCTCAGAAGGAGTGGAGGAGACTTACCCTCGCATACGATGTGTGGCGAGTCTGCTCGGGATAGGCTAGATAGGATAATGGCCGTTCTGTTTTGGCAGGTTCAATTCCAACCGGTATGGTGTGGAATTCTTTCCGGGCGCTGCCAAAAAGCAATGCTGCTGCAGCCTAGACCTGCCATTACTCTCTTTCCTGGCACGTCCCCTTGGGGTTTGAAACAGGACCCTACCAAAACAGTAGGCTGAGCAGTTTAAGGCAAAACCTAAACACGATAAAACAGACAACTCTTCGGGCTTGAAGCCTTAAACCTCAAACCCTGAGCCAACAAGCTCCAAAAGCGCCCTTACTCTACAGCCGTTGGTATCGGATTGTTTGGTATAGCTTGTCTCCCACGCCTTGCAAGAGGCCACGGCGGTAGTCAGCGGTCTCCGGGCGGTGTCTCCGGTGCGGTCCAGCGTGTCCCCCATGCGCGGCGGAGTGCCTCGACAATACTTACGACGTCAAAGCCCCAAGCTTTCAACCCGAAACCTTAACCTAAAGTCGAAGTGTGTTAGTAACTTAGGAGGGCAATATATAATGGTTGCCACTACTCACTACGATTCCTTAGTCAGGTTCCTTTTTGGATTTTACTACAATGAACCTCAAAACCCCAGTCTAGTTGTTAAGGCCCCCATGTGACAGTACCCTGTCTTTCCTTTTATAGTAGTATAATCAACCCTCATTATAACTTTCAGAGGAGCCTAAGGGAGCCTTATTATGTGTGGTCGGGGCTTTGGGCTTCATAGGGCCGAAATAGGGCTATCATCCGCGGTTCCGAGCGTGGCGAAGGGTTTATAGGGTGTACGTAAAATACTGCGCTACTCTATCTCCGGGTTTCTCATCATATGGTTGCAGCAGAACATACTCCAAATCTGCTGTCATTGTTAAGGCCCCTATATTTGAGGTTGAGAGCCGGAAGACTGTAACGCAAAAGGGTGAAGGTGCTTGGTGTGAGGATCAATGGGGTCGGCTTCGGCTAGGGTGCGAGGATATGGTGCAGGAGCATGAGTACATCCGCAATTGCGGAAAACTCTCGTATTCTCGGAGAGAAGTCAAAGCAGCGTTTGAGTTTCAGGTTCCAGCACCCTAAGCCACTTCAACTTCTTGAAGCCGTATGCAGGAGCCCTGTTGGATAACCCTACACCCTACCAGCCCTACACTACCTATGGAGATTTTCCGAAACTTAGGGGTACCTTATTTTGGGGTCCTTATAATCAGGATCCTACTAATTATTTGAGCTACTATATTAGGGTCCCCTAGTTTCGGGAAGCCCTCCAAATTTGCCTTGAACTGCCCAGGTGGTGTACTCAACGAGCACCGGCTACACACCCAGGATGCAGGCGGAGATTTTCATAGGGCTTCAATACTTAGGCTTAGATGTGGATTGTTTATCGCAGTTGATACCGCTTTTATATTTTTGAAGGGTTGGCTTTGGAGGCTTCTGGGCTTTATGGATTAGAGTTGTCGTGAAGATGTAGGGTCTAAGAACCATCGCGGGTGTATTTAGCCCTAAACCCAAAAGTTGGTACCTTCAGCCACCGAAGCCCTCGACCTTTCACCTCCAGACGTTTGAATCGAGTCCGTGTGATGCGAGAGCCGGCTGCCGTTGTTCAGGGGTATTTTTCGAAGATTCAGGGCTGCAAGTCAGGGTCCTGTGTTTCGAGATTCTTCAGAAGGATATTCTGATTATCTAGGAAGCGTGGCGATTTCATTGTGACTACTGGCTTAGGATCTCACTGAGTCGAACTGGATTCCCAGGGTTAAGGGTCGTCGTAGGGCGTGTCGCAGCATGCTTGAGCTGCTGAAGAAGCTGGAAGGGCAGCCCTAACCCAGGATCCGACACCCTATGGACCCTCAGCCCTCGACTCCGACACTCCGAAGCCCCATATCCTCAGATTCAGTCTTCTATTGTTTGTTGTGTCGGTTGTAGAAAGGCTTTAGGGCTTTGGGCTTGAACGGTGTCGAGGGTTTCGGGTCACTGCATCCAATGCAGAAGCCCCAAGTTCTGTATCCCCAAGCCCTAAGCCGCAGTAGCCCCAATTGGAGCTTCAGTGGATGTAGTAGGTGTAGGTGTTACATGTATCGAATCTGTGGTCATACGTAGATATAACTAGAGCTCCGTACTTGAAACAACGCTTGCTAAGCTCCCTGACCCTCTGAGCAAGCCAGGACTTACCGAGGCACCAGGGGGAGCACAGAGTCATCGGCGAGCGGCGTATTACTCGCGAGGCCCGTCGCTGCGGAAGGGAAGGGGATTCAGGGTTTAGAGCCTTAAACAGGAAATAGCGTGACCTGCAAAGAACAGGGGCCCTAGAAACGAGTTGCCCCATTGCTCTCTCGGCCTTGGCTCCTCAAACTCTAGCGAAAACGTAGCTAATCATATGCCCTTAGACCATATCCGGAAACCCTAATATAGGAGTCCGAACAGTTAGTATAATCGTACTTGTTCCTTAGCAAAAGTTTTCATTAACTATCATAAATCATAAAATAAAATACCAAAAACCACAGTCTAATGTTTCAGGCCCCTATCTTATTTTGCTTTTGAACTTCATTTTCATAGGACCGCTTGGCTTCCATGGTTCTCCAAGAGACCATGATCCAGCGGCGAATTCCGAATTTGCCAATCCTGTGTGAGGTCGGGTAGATTATGGACTAGTTGAGTGTGTATAGGCCTCCTGGGAATTTTGGCGAGTGTAGATTTGGGAGTTACGGTGTTACTATGGGCTGCTGGTAACGACACTGTCAACCTCGATATCCGAAGAAACAGGTGAGCTCGATTCAAGGCACCAGTCCAAAGCCCTTCTGCAGGTGTGCTCAGGTGTTTTGGCCGAAGGGGAGGCCTCCAGCCCGAAATCTAAAACTGGCACGTAAATCCCAAAACCCTGAACCCAACACACTAAAATGCCAACCCCTAACACCTCAAACCTTAAGCTCAGTAAGAGCCAAGCGCGAAACTCTCCGACTGGTTCCCTTCGTGTTTTGGCTCCAGCCAGACCCTGCCAGGAGCTTGCAGAGACCGGAAACCTCGTTGAGGCTGCTGGGTTTGGAGTGCTTGTGTGTATGGCTTTAAGCCTTTAAGCCTTGACACGTTTGTGTTAAGAGCTTTGGGGGTTTATGGAGTTCCAAAAGGGTCACAGAAGGGCTCTAAGAAGGGTTCGATAAGGTTCATGCTCATATTCAGTGCCTGGGTTTTGTAAGTTTACCTGAGATTCCCTTTCGAACACAGAGTTCTGCAACACAGCCCCCCCACGCCGTCTTGAATTCGAAGCCCTCGACACCAAATGAAAAGCCCGAAGCCTAAACCTAAAATAATTGGTGGTTTTGATAGTTTTTATCGTAGCTCCTTGTAGCCACTCTAAATCATACCATGGTATACTCCAGCGCCCTACTCAAGTCTTATTCTTCAGGCTCCGGCAGTACCATCAAAGAATTTCTAGGATCCTTATAGACAGAGCCCTGATTTAGAGAACCCCTGGTTCCTGAGGTGGAGGGCTCTGTCGTCCCAACCACGGAGAGACCGTCATCGCTGCTCATGCGGTCTCCTGGCTTGGCTTTAGGGCTTAGAGTAGTCAGGATATTGGGACTATAGGGTTGGGGAAGTTAGATGACTTTAATCCTTTAATGTACGAATCTGGGGCCTGAAAGAATTGGCATAGCGTGTTTTGGGTTTTGATCCTTATCCACTTATGTAGACCCAAGAACCTCGTGTATCTGGAGCGTTCCCTACCCCGAAACCCCGCAGAACCCTGTAAGACCCTGCAAGCACTTTCACACCGTATAGCTCCCTGTAATCGTGCCCCACACCTTCGGCAGTTTGGATTTTTGGAAGGCCCAAGGGCTGCGGCCTTCAAGGAAATAAACAACAAAGTCTGGCTGAGGTTCGCTATGGTGCTTTCGAAGAATTCGTGATCGGGTTTCCCTGACCAACGTGTCTATATGACCGGGTTCTTGTTATTCAGATGTAAGTTTGGTTTTGAGGGGGGCTTTGTGACTCCTACTTGGGTTGTTTTCCTGCACAGGAGCTTCCAGGGTTTGTAGGCTTTCGGGATTTGGGGGTGTATGCGACGGGCTTTGCGGTCTAAGGTTTCGGTGTGCCAGGAGGAGTTTAGGTTTGCGTTGGAACGATCTTGAGCCTGCCCGAAGGATGGCCGGGATGATCGGTAGATCTACAACGAAAGCTCGCATACTTGTGACTATGCTTACTAAGTCCACTGATCCTCGAAGTAGGTTAAAGCGCTGGAACAGCAAGCTTTACCTGGCGGGCCCAGCCGTCAGAGGCAAAGCTTTAGAGTTGAACTTCGTAGTCCTTTACCACATGTGTCTTCGCTCGTATATACATAACTCTCTCTCTCTCTCTCACAGTCTATATCTGCATCTGTATCTGAATGAGATTCTATGCATGTATAAATCTTGATCTATATCGGTTATCTATATCTACATCTATGTGCAATATACCCTGGGCTCTGAAAGGCCCTAATGCCAAAGCCTTGAAGCCTTAATCCCCAACTAAGCTCTGAACCCCAAGACTAAACTTGAACCCCAAGCCCACTTGTCAAACCAACCCTTGGAGAAACCCTTCTCGTGACCCTTATGGCACCCCTAACCCTGACCCTTACGGCAGCCCTTACTTATCCTTATAGCGGTATAGTACCCCCCCACTGACAGTTTCAATATCCCACTACTTACAGCAGCCGTTGTACATCCCTAATCCCAAACCCTAACCCCCATCCCAACCACCTTGGCCATGCTTTGAGCAAGCGTTTCTAGTTGATGAGCGCGTCTACAGACACGCAGACACATGCCACCCCGAACAAAAGCCAAGCCCGTATCGCAGACCCTCACAGCAGGCCATTGCTAGTATCAGTATTCTTATTAATGCTGCTCTTATTGTTGCTATTATTGTTGTTATTGTCACGATGCTTATTACTATTCTTATACATATTATTTCTACCATTATTCCTCAATGCTACTGCTAGTATGCTCATAGCCCTTCGTAGCGGAAGCTTCCGAGGCCGGTCTCGCAAGTGAGCCGCGTTCCGGATCCCTTCCTGCCGGGGCGCGAAGTGGCGATGGCGAAGGCCGGGATTGGTGGTTTAGGGGTCAGGGGTTAGGGGTTTAGGAGTTTAGGGGTTAGGGGTTTAGGGGTTGGGGTTTTGGGTTTAAGCTTCAGGGTTTTGGGTTTAGGGTTGTAGGAGTTTGGGATTTAGGAAGCGGGGAAGCCGCCTGGGGAGCTGAGTGGGATTGTTTTGGTTTTCTGGGTTTGTTTTTGTTTTCTGAGGGTTGGAGTTCCTAGACTTACTGTAAGGTTCACTAATCAGGTTTTGCCTGGGCCTCAGTGCCACTACATTACCCTATCTACATCCTTGTACCTTCCTTCAACCTAGAGCCCGAGAGTTCAGGCTTCAGGGCGTTCCAGCTTATGGTCCCTATACAGCCATAGAATCAGATGTCGGCAAGCCCTATTCCAACTCTCAAGGGCCCAAAAGTTGGGCTTCAGGTTTTGGGTCTCGGGCTTTGCAGGCCAGTATCATTGCTTGACGTGGGAGGTGAAGAGGTCCTACAATAGTCCGGGGTTAGGGTGTGGTGTTTGGGGCTATGTCAATTGTTATACTTTGGAAGGAAGTGGGCATGACCTACTGTACAAGTAGTAAGTAGGGTTGGAGCTCCTCAACCCTAAACTCTAAACCCCGTTGAATGTAGGATTTCTGTTGCGAACTTCTTTGCGCAGCGTTTGGCTGAGCTGTCTGCTAAATCCTAGAGCTTCAGGCCTCCATGTTGTCAGAGAGCTGAGCATGATTGCTGCATTGGTCATTCTACTAAGCGGAGCGACCACACTGGGCGTCCGGCAAAGCCAGGAGGAGAGCGCTGTTGTCGTATGGATTTAGGCCCTAAGGCTTTTATCCTCCGGATTGAAGGTTTACGGTTCCCTAAGGTTTAACACCCAGGTCTTGGTAACACAGAAGTCTTAATGCCTCAGTTATTCCCAACGATATTCCTTATAGGGCTCCTTATTATGCTTACGGCATAACATACCGCAAAAGCTTGTTCTACATATCAACGACCCTATACCCTTAAATCCGTCTAGAATGGAACCCGTGTAGATCCGTTTGAGGAGGCCCTTTTAGGAACCGTATTCTGGTTATCAAAGGCTCTCACGGTGAATACGGCTTCTGAAATTTCTTGCATGGGGGCCTCTTGACGCCAAAGGTCGGCTCCTTGTACTTGAGGGCTCCGGGGTTTAGGGTTTAAAAATCTAAGGTTTAGGGTCTGTGGTGGACGTATGTTTTTGCAACCGAAACCTGTTCAACTTGTGTTCATGTGCAGCAGACCACGGAGGGCTCTTTGTTTAGGGTTTAGGGTTTAGGGTCCTTCTTCGCGGTCTCCAAGAGAAAGGCACACACGCTTCGTGGTAAGGGGCCAGTGGGCAACTAGTGGTGGGGGTGTTTCCTGGTCTGCGTGAGCACCCGATCTTCCTCAAGGCTGAACCCTCAACTCCAAGACTCCAAGATTTTGACTCTTATACTATATACTGAGTTATAGGCTCTGTATTACAGATGACGCATTTTAGTATCACAGATGACTAAACCCTGTACAAACCATGGTCAAACCCAGCAACCTTCACCCAAGAGCCTCAAAAAGGCCTTGAAGTCTGCGGCCTTCATGTCATAGAGGGGTGTGAATACGCAGGAATGAGGAATTCCTTCAGGTATACGTAAGGTTTCCTAATCTGTTTATGAGATAGAAAACCGAATTGAAACTCGTGATCTTTACAAATGGCAAGGTCCAGGATAATGCGAACGGCGATACCTCCGCCGATGGAGATGCGGGTACACCACCCTTCAAGCGCTAGCGAAGCCTCCGTAGAGGAAGAGTCTGAAGCACTGTACAGGACCCGTATCTGCGAATCCAAGAACAATTCCTTTGCGATCCCGCTTTACTGACCTTACACTCCCACTGATCAAGCCCGTGAGCCCGGAAGGCCACTCCAGAGAGCAGAATCCCGCTTGAATATCAAGGTGTCGGTCAGAACCCGTATGAACTGTTTCATTCCACAATGAAGGTGTATTTCCTCACTCCCCAAACCCTGGAATCCTTAAATCCCAAACCCTTAAACCCTTGAGCCCTAAAACCCCAACATCCTTAAGCCCTTGAGCCCTAAAACCCTAACATCCTTAAACCCTTATACCCCGAACTCTGAAAGCCTTGAGCCCCAAACCCTTACACCCTTAAAGCCGTGAGCCGTACACCCCAACACCCTTAAGCCCTAAGCCCCTTGATGCCTAAACCTTTACACCGTTAACCCTTAAACCCCAAACCCTTAAAGCCTTGAGCCCCACACGCTAACACCCGTAAGCCCTAAACCCTAACATCCTTAACCCCTATAAGCCCCTAGAGCCCTAAACCCTAACATCCTTAAACCCTAAACCACTTGAGCCCTAAACCCTATAACATCCTTAAACCCTAAACCCCTTGAGCCCTAAAGCCATCAACACCCTTAGGCCCTCAGCCCCTTGAGCCCTAAACCCTATAACATCCTTAAACCCTAAACCCCTTGAGCCCTAAAGCCATCAACACCCTTAGGCCCTCAGCCCCTTGAGCCCTAAACCCTATAACATCCTTAAACCCTAAACCCCTTGAGCCCTAAAGCCATCAACACCCTTAGGCCCTCAGCCCCTTGAGCCCTAAACCCTATAACATCCTTAAACCCTAAGCCCCTTGAGCCCTAAAGCCATCAACACCCTTAGGCCCTCAGCCCCTTGAGCCCTAAAGCCCTATATACATCCTTAAACCCTAAACCCCTTGAGCCCTAAAGCCATCAACACCCTTAGGCCCTCAGCCCCTTGAGCCCTAAACCCTATAACATCCTTAAACCCTAAACCCCTTGAACCCTAAAGCCATCAACACCCTTAGGCCCTCAGCCCCTTGAGCCCTAAACCCTATAACATCCTTAAACCCTAAACCCCTTGAGCCCTAAAGCCATCAACACCCTTAGGCCCTCAGCCCCTTGAGCCCTAAACCCTATAACATCCTTAAACCCTAAACCCCTTGAGCCCTAAAGCCATCAACACCCTTAGGCCCTCAGCCCCTTGAGCCCTAAACCCTATAACATCCTTAAACCCTAAACCCCTTGAGCCCTAAAGCCATCAACACCCTTAGGCCCTCAGCCCCTTGAGCCCTAAACCCTATAACATCCTTAACCCCTAAACCCCTTGAGCCCTAAAGCCATCAACACCCTTAGGCCCTCAGCCCCTTGAGCCCTAAACCCTATAACATCCTTAAACCCTAAACCCCTTGAGCCCTAAAGCCATCAACACCCTTAGGCCCTCAGCCCCTTGAGCCCCAAAACTCTAACACCCTTAAACCCTTAAACCCCAAACCCTGAAAGCCTAAACCCTAAACCCTGAATTTAAATCCTTAAACCCTTAAACCCCAAACCTTGAAAGTCTAAACCCTAAACCCTAAATCTTTAAACCCTTCAAACTTTTCAGCCCCAAGCCGGCTCTTGGAGTCCACGAAGGACGCAGAGCGCCTGTCGCCGGTGCGCTCCTGGGGCCCGGGACTCCTCCCGACTGGCGAGGCAAGGCCTAGGGGCACTTAGAAAAATTTTTAATTTTTGGTTATTATAATCCCTAAGACACAGCTAAAATTATAATTGTTGCTAGGATTCTAAGTTCAGTATAGAAGGGAGAAGAATGACGATATGGGGGTTTCTGAAAATTAGGGGTTTCTTATTTGGGGGTCCTTATAATAAGGATCCTACTATTTAGGGTACTATACTAGGCGCCCCTGTTGTCTGAAATTCCAATATTAAAAGAGCATTATACTAATAACAGGAGTAGCAGTAATGAGAATAAGAAGAGTACTAGTGAAGTGGTCTGTAAATAGTATGAACTAGAAACAGCAGAAATGCAAGCAAGTCCATATTGACAGTAGTCATAAACAAATCAACAAAAACATATCATTTTTGTCATACGTATCCTTATCGACAACAGTAGCATTGCTATCAATGGACATAAAAGCGGTCCTCAACGGCAGCGGCAATCATAGTAATGATGATAGGGGCCGGACTGGCTAGCAATAGCATGCCCTTGCAACAGAATGCGTCCGAAACCCTATTCTATTGATCAAGTCGCCTATGTAAGGGCACTCGGACATGCACGATTCCTTTGTTATGTTTTTTCCGCTGATCATTGTTGTTGTCTTGCATGTTGTCCTGGCGACAAGTACCGAAAGCTTAAAGCGCTAAGCAATTGCTACTTAAAGCCCATGGTTGCGGAGGCCGGCCACTATCTTCTCTGCTGCGCCTCTCCGGAGGCGGCTGGGGGGTTTGTAGTGGTTTTCACCCGCCCAAGGATCGAGTGATGGAAGGCTCTGTCCTTCGAGCTGACAGACTGTTGCTCGTTGAAGAAAGTTTCCAGTTCTCTTGGCATGGGTTGAATACGACTACAACGGCGACGACTACAAGCACGGCTCCGACGACAACGAATATCCTGAAACCGCACTGTTGCGAGACTTGACACTTGGGTCGTAGTTTATGTTGACCTGACCGGAGAAAGGCTGTATCAACACAAAGAGCTGTGAATGCAGCCGCAAGAGTCTGTGGTCATTTCGGAGAGCCCGGAGGCCGATTTTGGTGTCGATGACCCGCGCTTCCAGAAAGCTGCCTCGCAGATGCTCGCGGTGGCTTGGCAGCAGCATGATGTTGTCGTAGACGACGATGACGATGGAGGTGGAGCGAGAGGTGTAGGAGAAGGTGTGTGTGTGTGTGTGTGTGTGCGTGTGTAACTGTGGCAGGTTGTTGCAGGAGGAGTGGGAGTAGGAGCCGTGCTCTGCTAGCAGTAGCAGAGGCAATAAGCGTAGCACAGCACGACGGCAGCTCAAGCATTAGGGCTTTGGGAGTGAACCGCCAGCACGACACCCCAACTAGCACCAGTAAGCGCAGCGTTTTTGTGTTTCATTTTCAAAGATTCCGGTGTGGTAATCGAATTTATCTTCGTTCAATCGGGACGACGGTCGGCAGCTGTGACAAATGCCGGCGCGCACCGAAACCCTGAACTTGGGACTGGAGACCTAAAGT